TCGCAGCTCAGGAGTTTATTCCTCGGGCCCTCTGAGGCCTTGAGGATTAGGCCCCTCCAACCTCTCATATCTTCTCCCTTTGTCTTTCTTCCTTCAGTTCAGTTCCCTCCAAGTGAAACAGTAAAGAGATGAACTGGACCTGGGAGGGGTGCCGGGAGGATGGCTGGAGTCTGGACTGCTAAAGGTACTGTGTACAGAGAGACAGATAACCACCCTACTTTCCTACCCCGACTGGACCGTTGGGCTAAAAATCTTTATGTCTTTTCCCCCAATGGACAGTAATAGAAAAATAATCCAAAAGTTTCAAAATAGCAAAGATGGGTTTGGGGCCTAGAGGGGTTGGAGAAGATGGGACATATGATGGGCCAAGGACCTCTCCCTGCAGAGGTGTGACTCTCCCTCCTGGGCAGGAGGCAAAAGCCAACACAATGTCCAGTCTCAGCGAGGTCAAGGGGCTTCCGAGGTCATTTTGTGGTTCTAATACTGAGCTAATCGCCTAGAAAACGTGGCCTCTCCATGAACTCTCTCTCCTGCCAGCCTCCCGCCTCCAAACCCTAAGTGAGGCCTCAGGGAAAAAGGGCCAACACATTCAGGTCGGCTGCAGAGCCCACTGACTCCCTCAGCCTAAGAAACAGGGCTGCAGAGGAGAGAACAGAGACCTCAAATTAGGAGAGCAAAGGGAAACCAAACCAACATTGCTCCTTCAGGAAGAAGGCTGGGGGGACAGAGCAGAAGAGAAATATTTCTGCATCAGTGCACCTCGCCTGTGAACTGAGCAGTTTCCTGTCTAGAATCCCAAGCTAGACACAAGAAGAAAAACAAGAACATATATCCATTTATACCCGCTCCAAAGCTGGAACATTCCATTCAAGCACTGGATTTGATTTTTCCAGGAGGCAGCAGTGACAGCATCGCACCGGTAAACAGGCATAGGGGACACCAGTCCCCAGTGTAGACAAGCAGAGTCACAGAAACACACCGACCACATGTGGACCTCACTAGACACACCCATGCACACATGCTGGAGCTCGCTGTGCCTGCCTGCATTTTCCAAAACCAGAAAAGCGCTTCTGAACTGCCTCACAGAACAACCTTCTTCTCTGGGGTTTTTCATGGGTCCTGACACCTCAGTCCCAACCAATTCAAACACTCTCCAGGTGTTGAGGCCCCTCTCTCTCTCCCTCTGACCCAAGCATCAGTCATCATAAAAGGGAGCAAACCTGCCCAAGCATCCACCGTAAAAACCCAGCCAAGAGAGTTAAAAAACAAAAAGGAGGAGGCGAGAGAGTGTTTCTTCTTTCGCTTGTGAAAAGAGCTCATAAAACGATCAAAACACGCCAGCCTGGGCCAGGGCTTTGTTACCTTTGCGCCTCTCGCCTCCTCTCGCCCGAACTCCGCCGATCCCATTCATGACGAAGGGCTTCTTCCAAACTGAGAGAAAAAAGTTTTCAACTTTATGGTTCCAAATTTTTTCTCCCTTGCAGATCCGGGAGAGACGGCTAACACTTTTTTCCCCCAACAGCCGGTCTGAGGAGATTTGCTGTTGAATAATAACAAAGGAGAGAGGATACGTATTTAAAGAAAAGAAGTGATTAATGGTTTTCTGTATAATTCTCACATTTTTCTTAGCTCTTGTCTACACAGAATGGCTGTGAACTTTAAGCTCCATAGAAATCTTTTTTTTAAAATTCTATTCATACCTTCCAAAGAGCAGCTTTGATTTGGTTCTTTAGAGACATTCCTTGGGGGGGCATATGCTTTTTTAAGAACTATTTTCCCCCTCAACTCGGGGCTTCGGCATCCCCTTGCAGCTAAAACACCACACCGCAATCCGACCGAAATAAAGCTCGCCCCTCTCATCCTCCAGGTCCACGACGATTTTTTATGAGTCTCCCAGCAGCATTTAAACGGACAGTTCAGCAGCCCTTTCGCGGCTGGGGACACCGGCCTGCCGGTTCCCCCTGCCCTACCCAGCCTCCAACTACCAGAGCTGCAAGCTGGAGGAATGCAAAATAAATAACAATAAAATGCGCGGGCGGGGGGGTTGGTTCTTTTTATTTTCTGAAAGGAAATGGGACTGAAAAAACGACTTTTAATTGCATATGCTCTCCCGAGCCCCGAGCTTTTTGGAGGTGGGGTGGTTGCACCCTGGACGACCAATGGACCAGAGACCCTGAGGCTGGAGCTCCCAGACCTCAGAACTTCTAAGCAGTGCTGCACAAAAGCAATTCCAGCCTGACAGAACTTCTGAGGGTCACCTGCACCCCTTTCCCCTACCCCCACTCCATTCTAGGGGTGACTGGGACCTCAGAGACAGAAAGCTATTTGGTCCCCAGTCATACTTTCGATACTTTCTATGAGAAAGAAAATGAAAATTAATACTGGAGCAAGGCTTCACAAAAGAGGCCATTTGTCTTCTTGATTATCTATTTGCTTGTCAGAGTTTGAGCTATGGCACTGGCTAGCTCCTTTGTAATATAAAAATACTCTGAAAACCTGCAAACACCCAGAAACATCTGTGCAAAAAATTAGACTCATTAAAGCCTTAAACACCTCAGAGGAAAGCGATACCTTCTTATGCTGCGAGGAAAGAGGCCAGCCTCATGGAATCCTCTCTCGGAACTTTAATAACCAAAGAGCCGTCTGTCTAGAAGGAGACAGCTTAACCGCATTTTATTTGCTTATGACAAATAAATCACGATATGAAAGGCTTTGCCATACTTAAGCCTCTTGTGTCCTACAATGAAACATTTTCCCCCATTAGGGACTGGAATCAGCCCTCCCAGTCCTTTCAATCCATTTTTGGACTAAAGGGAAAAAATTAAAAGCCCCAAAACAAAACACACCCACCCTAAAAGGAAAACAAACCAACCACCACAATTTGGAGTCCTCTGAGATAAAAATTCCCATCAGACTCTTTGACAAAAAATCTTCAACCACACACAATGTGAGGCTGAACCCACTAGGGTGCTTAAAATATACACTGGGTGGCATTTGTCCATATCTTTACGCCAATGTTTCAACAAAAACACGCTATGCTGGTCACAAGAAACCAAACATTTATTTCTATTGTCACTCTGTACAGCACACAGATATTCACAAGTAGGAAGGGTTCTAAACTCAAGCAGCCCCAGAGGTAGGAAAGGGCCTGGTTTTGGAATGTCAGAAAGAGAAAAGGAGAGAGGACGCACATGACACAAAAAAATAGTAATAATAATATTATCAATACTAATAATAAACGATGCAACACGATAAACTATGGGAGAGGGCTCTGCAACATCCTCCTCCCAGACTGGGAGGGGCACATTTTATTTCCTAGTTTCACATTCATTTTCAGTCTAGGAGAGAGGCCTCTGCTGTACAACTCTGGACTGGCAGAGTAGTGCCCAGCTCCCAGAACTCAACTGGCCCCTCACCCTGCCAGGCATGGCTTGGCTTGGCCTTCCAGAGGAAGGCCCTCCGGGGTCTCTGAGTCTCTCTTTTTCCTTGGACTCAATTTCCCTCCTCACTCCTGAGTTGTCAAGGCCACCCGCTCCCCTACTTGCTCCCCTCCTCTGTTCCCCACCCCCCAACCCCACGGTGGAAGTGGGGCAGCAGTCATTCTGACCCTCCGTGAACGGGCACGGAGGATGAGGGAGAGTGTGTGTGCGTTTGTTACCGTGGCCAAAACACTGCACTATCTGGCAGTCAGAGGGTGCTTTCGCTGGGTATCGGGAGTGGGGGACAAAGAAAGGAAATCCAGGCTGTCTTCCAGCAACGGCAGCAGCAGAGGCGGAGGCGGCCGAGCCGGGCCTCATTTGTTAGCGGGTGTCGAGGTAATGGTCGCCACCGAGGCCCGTCCTCTCCTCGGCAGAGTAAATAAGACAGATGGGCCTGGGCCTGGCGTGATTAAAGATGAAACGTGGATCCATCTTCGCCAAAGCTGAAAACGAGGAGCTGCAGCCTCCTCCTATTTCTCTTTCTGTTTTTTTCTTTCTTCCTTCTTCTTTTTCTTTTTTCTTTTTTTTTTTCTTTTTAAGGAAGAAAGCAAGAGATTTGAATCTTGCTTCTGGGGGGGCCTCCCCGTGGCCCTCTATTGTCATTTCTATAAATAAAGCTTCCCCTCCCCCTCTTCTGCGTTTATTCGCATATAAAGTGTGGGGGAGGGCAGATAGATTTTTCCGGGGCCCAGGCCCCAGGGCCCCCTCCTGTCCCCCCACCCCATCCCCTGCACTCACTGCCCATCCCCACCCCGAGGTTCGTGGCTCCCGCGTGCGGGGGCACTAGAGCGCGGGGGGTCCTCCATTGGGCCGGCCAGGGGTCCCTCCGGCTGAGCCTGCCGCACCACCCGAGCGGATCTTGGTGTTGGGCAACTTGTGGTCTTTTTTCCACTTCATGCGCCGGTTCTGGAACCAGATCTTGATCTGGCGCTCGGAGAGGCAGAGCGCGTGGGCGATCTCCACCCTCCGGCGCCGTGTCAGGTAGCGGTTGTAGTGAAATTCCTTCTCCAGCTCCAAGACCTGCTGGCGAGTGTAGGCGGTCCGAGAGCGCTTGGGCTCCCCGCCGGCGTAATTGGGGTTTACTGGACACACACGGAGAGAGGGAGAAAGAGAAAGTTTTATTGCCCCCGAAAGGAAGAGCCCTTTCTTCCAGCGAACACAGTGTTTCCCTCCCTCCCTCTCCCGACACCTCTTCTTCCTTCCGAGGGAGAGGGGGAAAAACGAAAAGGGAAGAATGCAAGACCCAAGAATGAGAGAGACCTCCAAGTTTTGGAGAGCTGTGCTGTGTCCTTGTTGTTTGGGTGTCTGGTGGGGAGGGGGGACATGTGAGAACTCCCCCAAGGTTTTAATTGCTCCTCTCTCTCCCTCAGCTTGGGGCCCCCAGAATGGGAGAATAAGGGGGTGGAAGAGGGAGGGGAGGTTTCCCTAAACCTTTCCTCTGTTTAGGTCCCACCCTTGCTGCTCAAGATTCCAAGCAGTGCCTGCCCCTACTGAAAACTTTTACCTACTTCTCCAGCCAAGGAGTCAGACTGGAAGAAAGGAAAAAATAAATACTGGGAGTTGACTCAACTCTCTGCTTAAATACGGATTACCTCCTCCTCCTTCTCCTCCTCCATCTCCTACACCCCTCCCCAACTTCCAACTTCACTGAGACTGTATCTCCCTGGCGAAAAAGTCGCTGGTAAGAATGGTGAAGAGGATGGGGAACCTACTTCAAAGGCTCAGGGCCCACGAGGCCATAAAAATTTATGGGGGATGTAATTACGTGGCTCTGAAAACAGGCGACCGTAAATCTCTGGCAATGGCGAGTTTATAGCGGGGACAATTGGCTTCCCCAGCTCACCCCCCCACCCATGCCTCCGAGGTCCCTTTGGTGTAAAGCTCCAGGGGTGGGAGGGGGAAAGGGTGCCCACGCACTCACCCGTGCTCACGTGAACTTTGCGCATCCAGGGGTAGACGACTGGCTCTTTGCACGCGGAGTGGGACGGACTGGGGTGCAGGGGGTTCTGGGCGCAGGGAGGCGGCGGGGGGCTGCTGCTGACCGCCTCGCAGCGCTGGCCGGGCTCCGGGAGGAGGGCCCCGGCGGGTGGCGGCGCAGGAGCCCGAGGGGACAGCCCGGGCGGTGGCGGGGGCGGCGGGGGTGGTGGCGGAGGCGGCGGGGGCCCAGGGTCCCGGCAGGCCGCATAGCGCTGCACGGTGCACGCCGCGCGCCGCCCGAAGCCCGCCTCCGGCTGGAAGCTGCTCTCTCGCCTCTGGCCGCCGGCGTAGTACCCGGGCGAGTGGTCGCTGGGTAGGTAATCGCTCTGTGAATATTCCTCGCATGGAGGGAACTTGGGGTCGACATAGTTTGAGTTGATCAAAAAAGAACTCATAGCCATTAATTTCTGGGAATTGCCCACAAAATATACTAAAATTTATTCCGACCCCTGACTCGTTTTCCTGTTTCCGAAAGCCCTCCTACTTACTGTCAAGTGAACAAAGTTAGGCGCCCACGTGATCCTCCGAGCCAATGGCCGACCCGCCTGCGATTCCCGGATAAGGAAATCTGCTCACCCGGACCCCACTCCAGCCACAGAGGTTTATTTCCCCTTCTTCTCTTCCCCCTCCCCACCCACCCACCCAACACCAGGATTTACATAGGGCTCCTGCGGGGCGACCCCCTCCTTGCCTCGCTCTCTCTGGGATCAGAGAGAGGGAGAGAGCGCGCGCAGGTTGCGACTGGAGGGCCTGTTGGGGCGCTGGGCAGAGCGCAAACCCTAGATCCCTTAAGAAGTTGGGGCTCCCGGTGTAGCCCCTCCTGTTCTGCCTCACCTCTGCCCAGCATTCTCTACCTTCCATAGGCCCCAGTCTCCTCCCCTCGGCAGGAGGGAGCCCTAGCACCCTGCGTCTCTATGGGGAGTTAGGTTACTGGCGGGCTGGGGGCTCCGTCTCGAAAGGGGAACCCATACGGGGGCCAGAGCATAGAGCTTGGGGCTTTTCTCTGCAGCCGGATGGGGAGGGGTAGGGGTGAGAGAGGAGGCGTCCAGAGCTAGAGGGCGGGTGCGCAGAGGGACTTGTCAGAGATGAATGGAACCGCGGGCGGATCGATAGGAAATTCATGCACTAATTCGGGGAGACCTCGCCTTCCAAATCGCATTTAGCTGCGCAGTTAGCTAGACTGTATCAGTCAGTCCGTCTGTCCCCCGTCTCCTATCCACTCCTCCCTTTAATCCACGCGGCTCAAGCCCGGAGAAACGACTTGGTTTCCCACACTATGGATAGAGCGCTGGGGTAAAAAACCTGCAACTTTTGAGAGCAGAATTGATTAGCAATTTGCTAATTCCATAACCACCCGAGCAATACTAACCATGGGTCTGAGACGTTCTAATTGTTGCTAATGCCGCCGCCTCCGCGGCGAATAGAAATCTCACATCCCTGTGATACTGGGAATACAGCCCTAGAGGTTGTATTATGTGTGTACCCCCACACAAAATAACACCCCTTGGTAATCGAGTATTTCCAGGTCATCTTGTTCTGAACTGAAACGTAAAGGCGACCTCAGCATCCGTTTGTTAAGCAAATTTCCTTTGCCTTCTTCGCACACCGAAGACGAGTCATTTTTTTCGAAATTTCCAATAAAGCCTCTCTGAGCCCAGAATGGAAAGTGGGTGCGTTTGGGACGAGAATATAAATTTAAAACTTCAACAACAATAACATTAACCTCTTAAAGAGAGGTGAAAAAGGACCAAGGCTCCCAGGGGCAGGCGTGGGGAGAGTTCAGGTAGATGATTTCTCCATCTCTAACCAGTTGAAGGAGGAAAAGAAAGAGGAATAAAGAGGAAGGAGTCTTCGTGTGGCCAGTCACCAGATTGTCCTCATTCAGAAAAATAATACATATATATATATATTTTTTTTCTTCTGGAAAAATACGAGCGGAGTGTTTATGTCAACTACATATTCCCCTAGATACGAATTTGTGACCACAAAATTCCTTACACAAATTCGGATCTACAGGGTATATACAGAAGACAGACAGATCTTCTTGGCCCAGAAATTTTCCAGTTCTCCTACTTTCCGCGCCTTCTTCGTTTGGGGTGTGGTTTGAGTGCTTTGGTTTTATTTCGTTTTGTTCTAGTTTTGAGCGCTGGGAACAGAAAAAGGCACTGCGAGTCCGTTCTTGGGATTACAAGGTTTTCAATTCTCTTCTATTAGAATTACAAGTAGCCAGTTCGGAAAGGGACGGGAACCTTGCCGCCGCCGCCGCCGCCGTGCAACTCTCGGTGGCGCATGAATTATGAGATGTAAACATTAGCTAAGCACAAAAGGAGGAAGGGTCATTCTGAGGCTGCCGCGAAGTCAGATTCAAGCCTTTCTGGGTGCCTTCGCGCCCCTCCCCTCCCCCCAGGACTTTTTTTTTTTTTTTTAGAAAAAACAAAACTCCAATCGGCTCCTCCCTGCCCCTCCAAGCCTTTAGTTTGTGATCAAACGAATATCTAGATATTTTCCAAAGCGCCTCTCAGCAAAGGGAGGAGGAAAAGGGCTGGGTGTGAAGGAGGTGTAATAAAAGTCCTTTTGGAAAAATTCAGTGGTAAAAAGAGAGAGAAACAGCTGTAAAGAAAAATGCTGGGAGACCAAGCAGATGGGGCCCCGATATTTAATGACGGGCAATTCCGTTTACAACCTGAGAAAAGATCAAAGGCGTTTCATTTCCGAATGAAGGGCAATGAGGAACAATAAAAGATGCAGCCAGATGATATAGGGTCCCTCCCAGCCTCTCACACATCCTGGGAGCCAGGAGAGGGGGTCTATCCTGGGGAGGTGTGGGAGGAACCCCATTTCCCCAGCTTCCTAGCCCCAGGCGGGTCCTTTCCTTCTAAACACATACGAACTCGCTTAGCCACCTGCTTGGGTTGGTAGTGGTAGGACCAAAATGGGCATCTGGGGTTTCGGAACCAACTTTCTGAGGCTCCCAGAAGTCGTGAATTTACTAAGCTGAGAGGCTGGAGGGAACTGAGACTGTGAAAGCTGTGACAGAGTAAGGGAAAATGTGCATAGAAAAAACCTCCACCCCACCCAGACTCCCTACTCAACTCCCTAGGTCTGAGAAATATTTGCATCTCTAGTGAGGAAGTCAAAATAATATCAATTTCATTAACAAATACAGGAACAACACAAAAACAACCCTCTAACTGCAAAACTCCAGAGATCTCTGCCTATCCCCAGTCCTGGGACCTTGCAGGTGGGTAGGAGGAGAGTTCCCATCTGCCCACAACTAGGTCCAGAGACCCTCTGATTTTCTTTTCATCTTAAATCTAGGAATTGCCAATGTTGGCCTCTGGGCCTGATTTCTAACATCAACATTCTCCCAGACAGGCTGAACTCACACATATTTGGGAGAAAAAAGCAAACTATTATTACACTACTGTTGTCTTTGCCAAGAGAAGGTCCAATAGGTAATCTCAGACCCCCATCTGGGCAGTCAGGGAGACTAGAGTCTGGCCCAGGGCCCACAGACAAAATGCGCTGCTAGGATCCCCACCAGCTCCCTAGCGTCAACCAGGGACCTTTTACAAATCTTGTCAAAGGCCACTTAGGGTCTCCAGGACCCACTCCAACCGTCCAGGCCCCTCCCCCACCCCATACCTCCTGTCCTTCTCAACTCGACAGCTCTCGGAAACCCTTCCAACCCATCGGCATTTCGGAAGTTTGGGAGGGCCGCTGGGCCGGCTGCCGGGCCTCTCTGCTGCTCTACACTTCACAAGGGATGCGGCCCAGGTGCCCCAGCACCCCAAGAGAGAGGAACAGGGGGCAGAGCCACCGCGGGTTTGGGTATCCTTGATACTGGCGCCCGAGAGCAAAGATTTTTCTCCTCTGTGGGCTGGAAGCCGCCACCTGCCAATCCCACCAAGGCGCCGCACCCCCCACACCCCTCTAGCCGCCCGAGACAGAGAACAAGGTTTATGGGCGACTCCCAGGACGGGTTTCATCGGAGCGGGAGGCTGCCTCTCCCCTCCACCGCCCAGAAGGATACGAACAGCAACACGCATAATAATAAAATAAGAGCAGGGGCTGCGCGCTATCGGAGCCACCTCCACTGCGCTCCCGGGTCTTTCCGCGGCTTCCCGACCGCCTTCTCCTGGCAGCCACAGGTTGCTAGCATGACCTCGCGCCGCCCAGCCACCCTCCGCCGTCCGGGCGTGTCCAGCCCGCGAGGAATCACCTTTTGTCGGAGGGGAGAAGGGACTCAGCGAGGGAGTGAAACCGAAGGCCCGAGCGGAGGCGAGTCCCCAGCCGGCCTGCGCATCGGCGGCGGCGGCGCGGAGGAAAGGCCCAGAGCGAGCGAGGGCGAGGGTACTCACCGGGAGGCTCCCCAGCCCCGCCGGCCGCCGAGCCGCCCGCGGACGCGCTGGGCGACAGCTGAGCTCGCTCCTGTCCACTATTGTGTGTCCGGAAAACCGGACCGCGGCGGCGGGCAGACCCACGGGCTCCCTCAGAAGCCGGAACATGACTTTTTTTTTTTTTTTTTTTTTGGTGTGTTTTTGTTTTGGAAGCGCAAGTTTTCGTATTAATCTCATACTTTGGCAGTCTTTGTTAAACAGGCGCGTCACGAGGCTCTCAAACATTTTAATAATTTTTAGACGCCGTGACCTGCGGTTCACCCCTCTCCCGGCCTCCCCCACCAGCAGGCAGTTACTATAATACGCTCGCGCAGTTCGCTGGGTCATATTGAATTTTGCGTAGGTCATTACTTGGGAGAAAAATGACAGAGCAGAAATTTGATTCAGCTCATCCTCTCCAGCTCGACTTTTCGCCAGTCTTCTCTTCTCTTCACCCAACCCCCACCCCAAAAAAGTCCCATTCGGATAAGAGTCAGTCGGCCACGCCCCTGTTTTGACTTTCCATCATTCCCATATTTTTGTCAGCTCTGGTTCCAGAGAGAGTGTGGGGTTTCACGTGGGATCCTTTTGAGGCCTGAGAAGGAGGCTGGCACGGGGAAAACTGAAAGCGTGGCTTTGGGCATCTGGGCCCCAGAGAGCAGGCCTGAGCAAGAGGCCACTTCCCTGAACCTTACCCCTAAATGCCTGTATGGCCAGGGCCCGGATCCCCACTCCATTGCACACTCCATCTGCTTTGTTGGCTCCCCTAAGTGTCAGAGATACCCTCATTTCTACAAAAGCTTTGGAAGCTCCAGGGCCTAGAAATGACCACTCCACCTCTTGGGGCCAAGATTTTGGTCCACACAACCCAGCAGTTTCCAGGAAGATAGAACCCTGAGAGACGTGCTGGGCTGGGATGGTCAAAGCTGGGGACATAACTTTCAGAGCTTTAACTGTCCTTTAAATACAAAACAATAGCTTCCCCCTTCCCCCAAATAATCGTTCTCATCAATACAGTAACACTTTTGCCTACCCCCATCAACCACACAAGGAGGTTCAGGAGCAGATCAAGAAGGCATTTAAAACAGTGAGATTTTCTTGGGTTTGTCTCTCCAGGATTAGAATCTGGTGGATTGCCTACAACACACTTCTCCCATTCTCCAGCCTCCTAGGGACCTGCAGAGGTGAGTCAAGTGACTCCCCTTCCTCCCAGTTCAAGTCTATAGACTGAGACAGGGCTCCAGCCTAGTTGGTCGGGTGGTAGCCTCCTAGTAGGGAGAGGTCAAGAAAGAACTCCCCAAGGCACCCAGCTTGGTCTAGAATGGCAGAGGCCACTTCTTCCCCATCCTAGGTCCCTCTAGCCCAGGACCTTGGGCTGCTCCAGTCTATACCGAAATTTGCTAACGTTCCGTCCTGGAACAGAAGGAGATGGATTCTTCAGTTCAGGCTTTGACATCTGTCTCTTCAGGACTCCAGGAATTCCCTCCTGGTCTGACACTGCAGAGAAACTCGCCTAAGGACTAAGCAGAAATAGGGACCTACACCCAATTGGTTTAGTCAAAACCCTGGGTTAAATCTATTTGAAATTTGATATTAAACCTTTGTCTCGTCTGGCCATGTTTCAAAAAGGAATCTTTACAGAAACTCTCAGGTTATCTTCATCCTAGAAGGAAAAACGCCCACAGTGTACCTCCTATAGTAAACGCTTGGAAGAGAACATAATGACATCTCATAATACAACAGTCATTTAAAGACCCAAAATAGGCATATGCCCCAGTGTTATAATTACTGAGTCTCTCTAGGCATTTACTTATGAGCTAAGCTCAATGCATGGATTCAAAGTTCATTTCAGGTTGCCTGTTTCAACTCCAGTAAAAAAGATCTCTGTGAGGCCATTTGGTACTTTTCCTTTGCATTTCTCCTCCCTCATCCAAATAGGAAGAGAAGGAGTCAAGATAAACACAAAAATGGAGGCTTGGGAGAGAGTGAGAGAATTAACAAGCTAATCTTTCAATAGGTAAGTTCTTAAACTGCAGCAATTTGGAGAGACAAATGAGAGTTTGGAAAGGCTCCAGTGTTGGCCCATGCTCATGGACCCTACCTTCCTGACACAGCCTGGGGGTTAAGGGTGCTGGAAAACAGGCCTGCCTCTCCCAGGGTTGGGGGATTGAAAGAGTCAGTAGTTTGATCCCTTTAGGGCAAGCAGGGTGAATTGATGTTGGTGAAAATCAAACCTTCACATTGGAAGTATTCTTTGGCCCTGCCAGAAGTCCTACAAAGACGTGGGGGTAATTTAATTGAATTTCTAAAATGTGTGTGGCTAGGAAGGTTTAATTAAATTTAATATGGTGACTCAAAGATTATCTTTGGAAGAGAAAATTGCTCAGAGGGTTCACCACACCCTAAGCGCTGTCTTTTCTACAACTCACCACCACCACCAGTCTCACCCTTTTTGGAGAAGGGATTTTTCCTTCCTCAGTTTCCCCTCCCCAGATATCTGCCTCTTCGCTGCCCAGTTCTGCTCCCCCACTTCTGCAACCCACAAATCTTCCTTACCTCCAGCATCCCTGGCTCCCTGGTCCGTCTTCACACACATACAGCCCCCTCCCCCACCGCTCCACCCCACCCCCGCCCCAGTCGCCTCCGCCGTGCTCGCTCACGCATGGTGTAAACTTTTGACCCTCCAACTTTGCGACCCCTCCGGCAATAACACTGGCCTCACCACCCAGGGTCTCATTCTGCTATGCCGGCCGGCCGCAGAAACCCCAGGGCAAAACGCTCTCCTTACCCCTCCCCCTTTCGCCAATGTCCCCACTCCCCCAGGGCCTTAGACCTGGGCAAGATGAGTCTTTTGACTATTAAATAACTCCTTGGAAAAAGACGCGGAACCCACTTCACGCATTTTCAACGGTCTCTTCTATTGGGATGCCTGGAAGGGCTTTTGACCACTCACCCTTCTTCATTTTTGACCCCCAAGTGGGGCAGAGGTTGCTGGAGGAAGAGACCTATGGTGAGCAGTAGAATGGGCTGACCTGGAGAAGGGCATTTTTGGGGTGAAGGGTGGAAAGAGCTTGGAGCAGGGGCTCCTCGGGAGCAGAGGGGGCCACTGTGCTCACAGGGCTGGAGGGAGAGCTCAGTGTCCCAACAATGCGGGGCCCGGGGCCACCTTGCGCGGCCGTTCGCTGGCGCCTCGGAGGCCCCAGCCCGGCTGTGAACTTGGTCTAAGGCGGACTCTACTGGCAGCTCCGGGATGTTACAGCCTCTGCCTCTAGTCCAGAGCTGCGGCCGTGCGGACAACCCGCGCGCTTTCGGTTTCCCTTCTGCCCAAATATCGCCTTCCAGACCACCACCTCTCACTGGGAAGGATTTCCTTTCTCCTTCCTTAGGATCCTTTGGGATTCAGAAAACAGAAAAGAAAACGAATTAGAGATGCACGCACCTAAGGACAAACCTGCAGAAGCCCCGAAATAGGGTATCCTCCATGATGCCTCCAAATCCCCCAAGAGGCGACGCCCCACACAGGTTGGCACTTTCCCTCCACTTCTCCCCTAAGTGTGTCTTTCCCAACTGGCCTGGGTCATCTTTTGGTACGGCAAAATGGTCTGGGGCCTGCGAGGTACCTTTCCTCCCTGGATGCATTCAGCCCTACCCCACTGGGCTCCGAGGTCAGGGATCGCTGTGACCAAAACCAGCCTCTGTGCTCCGAAGCCGCAAGGCTCAGCCCGGATCCACTCGGGGAGAGGCAGGCCAGAGGGCGGCCTTGCAGCCTAGGAACCGTTTCCAGGGAGCAGAAGCTAAAGGATACTGCAGAGAGTGCATTTTTCTCTCCAAGAGGAACTTTAGGGGGAGAAGAGACAAGAGAGGAGACGCCTAAATCACCGAGAAAAGGAAAAAGGAGGGAAGAGAAACGTTAAAACTTGGGGAAAAGGTGCTTTTTGGGATCCGACAGGTTCCCGAATTGCCGGAAGTCCAATCCTCTCCAGGCTCCCAAATTTCCCCTCTTCCTCTTGGAGCCTGCAATCAGTAAATTCGCCAAAAGAAAGAACGAAAGATCCGCCTAAACCTGCCGGCGTGCCCCCACCCCAGGTCTGCAGCGGTGGAGGTGCTGCGGCGGTGTGGCCGGTGGCGCGTAATGTATGCTGCAGCGGCTCGGAGCCCCACGTAGGCCGGCGCTGCTGCCCCCGTCTGCTGACCTCTGCATGATCCCGGACTCTATGAATTATTGATGAGATATGAGCGTTGATTTCCCCTTTCAGGATGCAAACTCCATTATATTGTTAAAATGGCGATTTAATCGTTGAGAATAGCTTTGGTGTGGGTTTTTTCCCCCAACTCATTTGCGCCTCCTTCCTTTTCATTTAACTCTCTTAATTAAATCCTTTAACAGATTTTAATCACTTTTTGGAGGGAGGGGTAGGAGAAAGGAGAAGGCCATAAGACCATCACTACCAACAACAACGGGACGCTAAAGCAAAATAAAACAAACCAAAGTCAAAAACCATCATAAGCCTCTACCTTTGAGAAGTTGAAAGGAAGGTGAAGAGAGGGAGGTTAACCCCTCTAGAAAGGATGCTCGTTAACCTCTGCTGGAGACAGACCTTTAGAGGGCTGGGGAAACCCACCAGAGACAAGGAAGAGTGGGGTGGGGCCTGCAGGAACGACCTGAGGGGTATTTAATCCACTCCTGCCCCACCCCCACAACCATCACCACCATGAGACTTGTGTGTGAAGTTGACTGTAGAGACTAAGTCATTCTTGCCCTTGCTGAGAACTCCAGGGGCCTCAAGCCTGGGGATTCATGTGGAGAGGGTCCTCCAATCTCAACCTCAGAGTCACTTAGGGAGAAATATCCATTCTGCTTCAGGAACCCCCATTTCTCCCTTCCCCTCTCCAAACAGCTCGGTTTCCAGGCGGTGTTAATTAATATGGATGTGTAACCACGCTGCAGCAATCGATAAATCTCACTGTGGGCAGATCTCAGCCTCAAAATCCGATTACTCTGAGAAACTCCAAAAATGGGGAGGATTACCAGTATCCCCTCCCTTAAAAGAGGGGAGCCCATTCTTGCTAGCCCTGTCTTCCAAGATTGACCAGGTTGGTCCCCCAAGCTGAGAAGTCCATGCTGGGGAGACTAGTCCTGGGAAGGGACTGAGTTTGGGGGGTTGTGCTGAGCTTCTGTCTTCTCCATTGCTCTGAATCCTTGGTATGCAAATCCCAGGGATAAAGGAACCAGTCAAGGAAAGGAGCTTCCTCTTGGATATTCCCATTCTGCTCACCAGCCCTCAGAGAATAACTTCTCACAGCCAGGGAAGGGTTAAGTGTCCCTGCCACAGTTATGGAGAGGAAGCCGATGAAATATGGGCAATTGGAACTCCAGGCCCGGCTGGCTTTCCTGTTTACACTTCTTTATACTTCCTCCCACCCATTGGCCTCAGAGAAACAAAACAAATAACCAAATAAAACAAAACAAAAAAAAAATCCAAATTGAATTGTCCACTGAGTGGTGGCCAGGCTGGCCTCAAAGGGAAAAGAGAAACTGCAGCCTTAATCTCCAGCTGTCACCTCCTGGGGCCTGCCCCAGGTTGAAGATTTGGCCAGAGGGTATCGGCCTGGCTTGTAGCTCAAGAGGCTGAAGCCTGGACTGGCAGAGAGAAAAAGCGGGTGGGAGAGGAGGGAGAGCAAAGCTCTGGAGAGAGTAGAGCTGCTTTCTTAGAGGGAGATAGCCTGAGGAGGGCAGGAGGAGATGACAGAGGTCTGGGGCAGAGGAGAGAGTTCTTGGCGCCAGAAATCCCTTCACACTTCCCATTGCCTCCCCCAACTTGTCCTGGTTGGGGTTCAGACCAGACTGGGGTTCAGCTTAGGGAGCCTGAAGTGGAGAAGAGGAAAGCCCAGCCTAGGCATCTTCTCCAGGACCCGCTTAGAGCTGGAGGAGACCCTTCAAGGGTTTGGTCACTGAGGTGGAACTGGCACCCCAAGTTGCTCTTTGCCATCCTGCAAAATCCAGCCAGATATGCTTAGTAGATGTCAGAGCCTGCAGAACTGACATGAGAGGGGGCGAAGAAACAATTTTTCAGCAGCAGGCCTTGCTATCTGGGGTTTTAGCTTCCAGGAGGGCTTTAAGAAAGGGAAGTATATTAGAGTGAAGCCAGGGGCACAGTAGGAATGGGGTTCCCCTGGAGACCCAGGTCAGACTCTCCCTTGCGGAACTCTTTCTCTGCATGTCTGTCAACTCCGCTGCCTTGTACAGTGGAAGACTGTGGAAGCTGTGCCTCTGGCACTTCTTTATATTTTCAATGGTTCTGGGGATCCTTTGGGAGTCGACCTGTGTCTCCTTTCTAAGGGATACAAATGCCCTCATCATTCTTGGGATGATGTGTCTTCAAACCAGGGTGACTCTGCTTTTAAAGCCTGTTAAGGATCTCCTGTAAGTCAGGCTTGGACAGTGGATAGAGAGCTCAGGGAATAGAGAGTGGCTTCAGGAGAAAGAGGAGAGGGGGAGAATTCCAATGTCCCTTAATGGGAGAAAGGGAGTCTTATGACCCCATCCTTGTCCCAAAGATCAGAAGCCCCTCGAGGTGCCACATATCCAATCCCAGAAACTACCTATGGCAGTTGGTGAGGTGAATCAAGGGATGGCAGGCTGGTGAAAGCAGGAGTGACAGGGTAGTTAGCCCCATAGGTCTTAAATTGGAGGGGGATCAATTTGGTGGGGAAGAGGCCTCTGACTTTTAGAAGGGTGACTTTTCCCTAGAAAATAACAGAACCCCTGGGGATAAAATCCTGAAGTCTCTCTGGTTTATGGTGCCACAAAACAAAGGGGCCTTTGAGGGTGTGCCCGGAAGAGAAGAGGGAAAAAGAGCACCTTTCCTATTTTCTCTTCCAGCTCCTGAACCTATTTCCTCCTGACAGTTGAGGGATTTGTATTCTTGAGCTAATTTTATTTATGGAGGGCATGCCAGAGTTCTACTTAAACACCTAACACCTCTAGGCAAGAGAAGAAGCTCTTCCCTTCCCCCACTCCTGGTTCAGGAATTAGGTTTTGAACTGGGGGGATTGCCCACTCTGTCCGCTCCGTAGTCTGACTTCAGGATCCTACTTTGAGGCAAGGAGAAAGATTAGCTTGAGACCAACAGGCTGAAGGTGGAAGCAAAAGCAGCACTGTGCTCCCCATCCCAGAGAAGCCTGATGAAGCCAAAGATAACTGGAGGGACCCCTTTTTATGGGCTTCAAAGATCTGAAAGCCAGAGAGCATCCCAGAGCAAGGCAGCCCACAGCAGCCACCTACCCGGTGCTTTTTCTCAGCTCACATGTATCCGGATAAAAGTGCCCAGAGGTGCACCCCCCCACACCTCTGACAAATGAATGTCATAAAGTTTCTTTACTGAGGGTGGGGAAATAGCTGTCTGAAGATATCCAGCAGTGAAGTGGCCCCCCACAACGGCCCCTTCTTTCAGCAATACACACCCCTCCTTCTTGGTCCCTAAATTTCCACTGGCACTGAGGGAGTATGAATCCCCTACACAAACCCTTTTCCCCACAAAGTCAGACACTCCTGCTAGTAAAAATCAGGCACCCCCGACCCATGAGGCCTTATGAAACTGAGAGCACTCATTTCAGGCACACAGTCCCTTAGAACTGGGTGCATAAAACAGGCTAAATTTCCCCCACATCACCCCACAGCCCCAGCTGGAAACAAGTTTTCTTCCCCCAGTCCCAAGTCCCAGAATTGCAAGGGGTAAAAGCGAAAACTGAAAGCGACTTACTGTGGGAATGCTGGCCTGGGCCGCTGCTGCCTTCTGGGCTGGTCCGGCTGCTCCAGGCTGGAAGAGTGCTCACCTACTTCTGCCCCCTTCCCCATCACAGCGAGCAGTTAAAGTGTCACTTAACATTCTGGAGAATGTGAAATATACTGCGCGGTGTCAACTCCCCAAAACCATAAAACTAACTTTATGGACCTCACGTGACTTTCTCGAGCCAGTGAGGGGTATCTGTCTGACTTCTCGGCGATTTTTACGATCTAACTTCGAGATAAAACCCCTATCCATTTGACATCTAAATGTCATAGCGACTTTTGGGATAGTTTGCTATCGACAAAGGGGGACAAAGTCAAGGGGTGAAGGGAAAGGAGGGCCAAGTAGAGCCTCCACGACCCTCGGCTGCCTCCTCACCAGCTCCCCCTCCCCCCAAGTCCAGTAAGAAGTTGGGCCAAGCTGGAAGGGATTGACCGGGTAAGTGTCCAGACTTGACTCTTGCGATCAGGGTGGAGGCTGACTTGGATGGAGGTGGACTGGGCCCTGGCCCTGGGCCAGGCTGAAGGGGGAACCAGGGGTCTTTCTGAAAGGACTCTAACTCCTAATCAAGAGGGAAGATCAGTTGGACCCTTGGAGAGAAGGAGCCCTTGATAAGGGTAGGGAAGGCTGAGGATGAGAGAAATCCTTTGAAATCCAACTGATTTTTTTTTTTTTTTTTTTTGCTTTAGTTGGTGGCAGAGCTGAATTGGGACTTGCAGTAGGAGACAGGGGACTGGGCAGGCCTCTACCACTCCCAAAAGGCTAGGAGCCTCCTGCTGAGGACTTAGGCCCAAATTACTTTCCCAGAAGAGTTTTCCAGAGGCTTCCTTGGCCAGCTAATGGAAGACCAGGATGGAGTCTAGTTCAGCCTTTCCCCTGCCCCAGCCCCACATAGGGTTTCTGGGCCTTGGAGTTCCCCAGGCACAAAGGTCTGTTCTCTAGCCCGGGTACTGTTGACCAAGCCAGGGACTTACATGGCTGAGAAGAGCTGTTGGGGAGCAGCCTACTTTTTCTTCCCTGCACCCCAGATCCATTGAGAATGGTGCAGGGTGTGCCTGGGATGGAAGAGGCAGACCCCTCGGAGAAAAGACAAGTGGAAGGGCAATGGAGTGGGGGAAACATTTATTTGACTTCCAGGAAAGCTACAAACAAATACCAAAAGCGAATCACTGAGACAGGCCCCGCAAAGACAGATTTCACATGTAGCACAGCATCCACTCGCTCACTACAAATGGTCTTGGAAGCAAAATGGGTAAGGGAGAGATGGGTCTGACCCAGACTATCCCCATATTTACAAGCTTTGGGCCCTCTAGCCAGACCCATAGATTCACAGAGAAATACACAAGACATTTTGCACTGAGGATCATTTTTGTTTCCGTATACTCCCAGACCAGGCCTTGCGGGGCCTACTCAGGCAGCAGGAACTTAAATCTCACTATCTTTTTTCTTTTTTCTCAATATCATCCCTTTGGTCCTCCCTAGCCCCTTCCCACCCTAGGACCAAGCCCCTAGGAGACTTGGGCCTGGGGAGTGGAGAGAGAGGAGGAGGAGAATGAAAAGAGACTCCATCTCCGAGGCCAGCTCAGCTTGGCCCCACTGCGGCACTACCCCACCTCAACTGCTGCCCCTTGCAGAAGTTTCCAGCTGAAACTCAAAATACAGCGATCATCTTTTTATAAATAAGTTAGAACACAGATGGGGAGGGGAGAGTTCACATTAAACATGCGAATTTCTTTTTTTTTTTTTTTTTTTTTCCTGGGGGAAGGACTGCAATCACAGACACAAACATTCAGAAACGCTGGCGGATTTGGGGCAAGCAGAAGGGAGTTGGGAGCATGGAAGGAAAATAATAATTATTATTATTATTAACAATAATAACAAGATAACCAGTCCAGGAGAGAGGGCGCCACAGGAAGACCTAAGACCAAACGAAATATCGTAACACAAGGCCGGGGCGAGGCAGGCTTGTGGGAACCGGTCCCCAGCGGGCGGCGGCAGCGCGGGGAGGATTGGAGGGGCCAGGGCTGGGGGTGGCATGGGCTCTTGGGCCGCTGGGCTCCTCTGGGCGGGCTCAGGGCTGGAAGGCGCTGCCGGCTGTAGCCAGGCTCATACTTTTCAGTTTGTTGTCCTTCTTCCACTTCATGCGCCGGTTCTGGAACCAGATCTTGATCTGGCGCTCGGACAGGCAGAGTGCGTGGGCGATCTCGATGCGCCGTCGCCGGGTCAGGTAGCGGTTGAAGTGGAACTCCTTTTCCAGCTCCAGGGTCTGGTAGCGGGTATACGCGGTCCGGGCCCTTTTCCCGTCCGGCCCGGTCATATCTGGAGCAGACAGAGGAAAGCCGCAAGGCAACGTTATTCCGGTTAAGGGAGGGGGCACTGGGTGGGAGGGGGCGGGGGAGCAGGACCCAGGCGTCCAGGCACCCAGCTCACCACAGCTCCAATCTTCTCTACTCCAGATGCCCACATTCAAGCTCGATTTCTGCACCCCTTTCTCCTGCATCTCCCACTTCTGCCGGCAGCTAGTGCGCCCGGCTTTGTCTTTTGCTCGCTCCTAGTGCCTCACCCTTGGCTGGGCTCAGGCGGCCGCTCGCCCCGGGAGGGAGGAGAGCGGTTGCACTTTTGCCTTGGAAAGCTCCTTTTACTGCTCACCCCTTCTTTGCTAGCGGTAGTCTCAAAATTTC